TTTCACAATAGACATTTATACACCATTGGATAGAGAATTTAAAGGGCTACATTTTGGACTATTTATTTTTTAAAACACTCGAAATCGACTTTTTGGCCTAATGTCCGCTTAGTTGCCCACTGTGAGGCGTAGATGATGCCAGCTTATCTGATCTCGAGAACCTTTAGAATTACTACGGCGTAGTAATTCTAAAGGTTCTCGAGATCAGAATGACTCCAAATCCTGGGATACTTTAACTGAAGTACAGCTTCAGAAGGAGAAATTTGTCCTGTTTCGTGCATCATTTACCTGTTTTTTGTGGAACAATCTCTTTGGAGATGGAGACTTATTGTCTTGCTTCGACTTAATTAATTTTCCAAGAAGAAGACCTTTTTAGTCCGACTATTTATGTATATAAAAATAAATAACGTGAATCGTATCGATTCCCTAAGTCCATTGACTGTAAATCAAATGAATGTTGTGTAGCGAATATTATTCATTCTGTTCCAGCTCGGTCTTAATACTACAGAATTGATGCGTATTTTTTACGATGAGTGCATTCATATTTTCAATCATAGTTTACAGAAGTAGTTGCTATAGCTTTTCGCCAGTCAGAAAAGTTTATCAGAATTTCTGTAGTTTATCGAGACTCTGTAATTTTATTTGGTTTTATCTGTCATACAGACGTTAGAAATGGACGTAATGTTACCAACTCTATCCATCTTCTTGCCCTTCATAACGAAATCTAAGTGAGAGGAGAGTTTGATCTGGTTCATAGAAATAATGCTTATACCTCCCTTCCGTCGGTGTTCACTCGGGACTATGTACCATGCGTTATGAATAATTCTCTGATTTGATGCGTCAGCTTCGTGAAGTAGCTCCAATCTATAAAGGTTTCCTTGAGAGCCCCCCAAAACTCCACAGGTCTAAAAATATTTCTGAATTCCAGACAATGCGCACGCGTCCCTTCGGTCCGCGCTTGCAGCTAGGACAGGCGTGATTCTAGTAAAATTTAATTCGTTTCAAATACACATACGACATTATTGTTGAATTTAATAATTCTCCTATATGTGGATAACGATGTGAAGTAAGAGTAGATGTTTTAATTAGCTTCATTGGTAGTTTTAAAAGACCAATTAAATAATAGTGACCATACAAATCCTTAGTATTAAAATAGATTTGTACAAATATAAAACTTGATAAATACATTTGACGATTCGATATGGCAATAATATCACTACCAAACGATATTTTTGTATAAACGAAATGATCCCGAATTGCTGGAATAGCAATATTATTCGATATATCCACAAAATAGACAGTAACAAGTGGTATTTGACTAAATGACGTCATATGTAATTGATTTTGAATCGATTTTGTCACAGTGCTGAATGCTTTCGCTGAACTATATTGACACAAATTATCAAAATATTCTTGATTACAAATGCAAGCATACATAAATGGTGATGCTCGAATATCTAGTGGAATACATATTCCTTGATTTTGACACATAATATGTTTGCATGGATCATACTGGAGATGACATTCACGATCAAATCTTCCAAGCATACAAATACATTTTTCATTCATGAAGAATGAACCGTTTGCGCACCTACTTGTAATGGAAGTTGCTGCAACTAAATCATAATAATCACCAGACCAACCCTGATCAGATTTATCCTGGTACCTAGTCAAGACATATCTAGTAAGAGAAATGGAAAGATAAACTTTTTCAGAAAAGTGTGCCATCTCTGTTGTTTCTTTGCCACTATAGTGACTATCATACTCTTGAACGGACGATTTCTAGTCTGTTGCTTGTTTATTTAATTATGTTAGATTCGTTCAAATCAAATAGATGAATTAATCAAGGAATCCGGTCAGAAATCATTAGATATCCTTCGCTCCAAAATATTATAAAATGAAAGCATCTTGTTAGTAAATAACCATTTTGATGTTGGTAAGTTGTGATCTTCTTCCTTTTGATGGTAAAAGATATATGAAATGTTTGATCTTACAGGGCTCTCATACAGAAACGATTATAATACTGTTCAATACACAATGTTTAAATCAGTAGCGCTGTCGCTTTAAATATCGCAAATAACTTCTTTTCATCGAAGACAAAGTATATATTCGTTACTGTGACATAAACCTTCATTGTCGTTCCACATTCAGATCGAAGATCGTAAATGACACGCTTTATTCTAATGAAAAAGTAAATCAGAACATTATCTGCAGAGAATTTCAAGAGACTAGACCGTTATCGTCAGATGACGAGAAAAGATGTTTGAGGAATACTGAAAAAGAGAAAGTCACGTACAGAGACGTTTTATTTGTTCAATGTCTAATAGTTTTCAGTTTAGAAAATAGTTTTTGTCATGAACAACAGAATGTTTTAGGATATGGTATGTCTTTTTAAAATGATGTAGGGGCATCAGATGAAGTGGATGAGGTGTGACCCCTGATATCGTCATAGTTTGCATTATACTCGTTTGTATGAATATCATGTGGCACAAAGTTGGCCGAAACAAATGATTAAACTGTTTATTAGCAATTTTTTGACAGATGAGATTCAAGAGGTTTATATCTATCAAATGAAATTAACAGAAGGTTCAAATGGTGTGATCATTATTTTTGAACAACTACAAAAACGATCATTGAGTCAGAAACTAAGTGATATTGACATGAAGTTATTTTGTGGTCAAATCTGCTTTCTTTCTCTATTCCGGTCTTTTCGACAGAATAGCTCATCCATCAACGGTGTTTCTATGACGAAGACATATTGCAGAAAATTACGAAAGAACTTCTATTTTTCTAAAAAACAACTTTTTTCTACTATACACAAGTAACGTTCATCTTCCATTCATTTAACCCTTGACTGAACTGAACTACCATATGGAAACAGGTTAGACCCCTTCTATCAGCCTTCAGGCAATTCCATAAACAAGGGAGATCGGATGATGTACAATGAAGGGGAATGTTTTTCTAAATTGACTTCTGTCAGTCCTATTTTACTTTCTTTCCCGACTGGATCCCATTTTATACTTTCAGAAACGATTGTTTCAGCACCGATCCGCCTTGATCATCTGAAAGATCAAATCATCTGAGGAAGGATGATAGAGAAAGAGCTGAAAAAAAAAGAAAGGTACGAAAAAAAACTTTTCACCTATCCTGAATAGACATGCACCGAGACGAGAAACCTCAATACTGTAGTCTCGAAAAGTTTCGATATGACTGGAATTTTCTTTGTAACTACACTTATTGATTGTATGCTTGACACTTTTATGATCGATTTTCCATATATTAAAAATTAATTCCTTCTCACAGTGTAGAGGTGGTGAAATGACCAAGAAGGTTGAAGTTAGTCTCAATTGGTTTAAATTCCAAAAGTGATCAAATCACTTAGCTATTTTTAATTACAAATAAATTCTCTTCACGTGAAATGTTAATTTAAATTCACTTTCCTGTCAAACGATTGTAATGTAGACATAAATATGGGAGATGCACCCGGTACACGCCCCTATCACCATAGTCTTAATGATATTTCGATTTTATTTGGATATTTCAGTTTGACTAATGTGCTTTTTGACTAACATCATCTTGCTTGGTATAAGCCCCCACTTGTAGAGTTCGATCAAAGAATTTTCCTACATTTACTCGTTCAGATGGATATGTATATTTTATGACATTTATTGACATTCATCTTTTTCTTCGTTCTTATCTATAACCATGAATGTTTATGAGGGTCAGTACGTTAACAGATCATGAAATTATATAAAAACACTTAACGGGCTGTAAGACTTTGATTTGATCAAACATTAACAAAATTATGCTAATTACTCCTACTTTAGTAGTTACACCATTTCTCATATTCTATTTAACTTTCATTTAATGAGTATGACTTCTATTAAAACAACAACAGATTGTCTGTTATGTCCTCAATTTATCGTGGCTGATGAATCAAACTTGTTATGTGATAAATGTGAGTCACTTGATAGATATTCTTTATTTGAAAACATTTTGTGTAATTTACACAAGTCAGCATCGAATGGATTTGATCGATTATATAATGAATGTGAACGAGTGCAACCACTTATCTCTATACATAGACTAAACTACAGTCCTATCACTTATTTTGATCATCTCAAACATGACATTGATCGTACTTCACAATCATATATGGAAACATACTGTGATTCAAACTTTTTTCAAAATTTTATTCCGATTCATATTCCAATTAGAGATGATAATGAAAATTCATTTTATAATTCACTTGCATATCTTTCAAATTTTGAAAACGATATTGTCATAGAATTAAAAGTGAAAAATATTTGCGAATTAGTTTTGAATTATGATTTTTATCAAGAGCTGTATAAAGAAGATTTCGAGATAAAATATCATATTATTAGACAGTTACGGTATGATCATAAGCAAACGACAATCTTGGATTTTATGGGTATTGCATCAGTTTTAAATATCGCTATTCAATCCGTATTTCCAAATGTTAACGAAGATAATGATCAAACAACCAAAAATCTCAATAAAATATTTTTTCCGCGAAACAGTAATAGACAAGAAGTTATCCAAATCACATTATTATGGACGAATAATCTACCTTTAAATCAAACAAATCAGAAAATGTTATGGCGATCAGATCGTATTATTCCATTGCTTAAATTACATGAGGTATCATATTCATTCATTGATCCTTCTTTTAGTATTTTTTCTTTCCATTTTTAGTTAAAAAGCGATTTGGACGTGGTTCGATTACTTCATGATCGACCTCGTATGTATTGCTAACGAACAATATTTCTCTTTATTGTTAAATGTTTCTTTTTATAGAAGCTCGCGGTGTATTTTACACAGCCTGTCCTTGTGGTTGTGAGATCACTCAAAGCGTTTTAAATCAGATTGTACCGAAAGATGTTCGACGTCAACGTGAATTTGATCTTTATCATAGACGAAAACCAAAACAGTTTATATTTACCTGTCCAACATGTCATGAAATGGAATGCGACGGCTACGTATTCAACAAAGAAAAGATAAAACAATTTCAAAAAATTATAATAATTCATTGCTTACCTGTATACTATTCGATGTTAGTTCATCCATGAAACAATCATGTGCACAATGGCCTCTATCATATGTGATTGGTAAATCTAAGCTGTCGATTGGTATCAAAGCCATTATACAATTATTGCATGATGTAGCATCAACAGCTCAAGGTCGAAAGCAGATGAATCCGATACACGATTCAAATCAACTTCTAATGTATACATTTGATAACAAATTGTTAGAACCTGCAATTATTCCGCTGTGTGATGCTGTGGATGCCAACAATTTTGTTGATAAAGTAGAAAATATTCGTTGTAGTAAAAGCTCGATTGGCACTGCTGTTTATGATGCTATTGATCAAATATTAGATAAACTTGAGCAACAACCATCATCAAATTATAATCTATTTGTTATTACCGATAATTGTGATACAGAAAGTAGTAATGAATCGAAGAAGAAATTATCTAATATTAAATTTAAACGATCTGAACTGAATGCGAGATTGCTTTACGTAAAATATGGCGATATTCAAGGTAATAGTGAAAACACAGAAGACGATACATTAGCCAAAGATGCTGATGTGCGTATTTATTTAAATGATAACGATGAACAAGTTAGACGAACGATGAAAACAGGTTATTCAAAAGTATATGAGGATGGAGCAACAATAACTTCATGTCACCAACAATCTAATATTGCATATGATCGTGATGATAGAATACCATATCCGAGCAGGATATACTCATCAAATACACAGCAACACCTTGTTAATAGTACTAGAGAAACTGATCAAACGGGGCAAAATTTTCAGTCGACTATGCAATACCAAGTTCAACCATGTACGAATAGTTCATCAGCTAATCTAAGTAACAGTGTATCACTATCTGATAACCATACTCAATCGTTTGTACTAGCAACGCGTCACAGAAAGCTATAAGAATAACATCACGTTTAACCTATAATACATATATTAGTTAAGAATTGTATTACAAATAAAATGTGTTTTTTATGTATACGAAATGTGCTTTTGCTTTTACTGTTATTCAGTTTTCAAGAATCTCTGATAGAACACAATATGTTTCGAAAATTGTTTATAATCTCTTATTCGGCAATCATGCACCGAGTATGTCAAAGGAACTCATATGTCTGATACGAGATCCAAACAAGTATTATTTCGTCAAAAAATGCAAATTCCTTTCTTTCATGTATTTTCGACATAGTTTTGATTTTTTCGGAAGATTTTCTACAATATCCTATGAAATGTTGTAGAAAATAGGTTTTATTGAAATATTGAAAACTCATGTAATTTGAACGAGATGGTTCCAATTAGACACGCATTTTGCTGTACGGTTCCAATTAAGATCAGTGCCTAATATGTAACCATCTCGTTTTTACATACACTAAAGTATGATAAGTATAACTTGGTCAGTTTTGATCCTACAAATCTCGAATCACCCTCATCGCTATTTTCTTGTGAACTGTTAACATTGACGATGTTTTCTTTTGTTCGTACATAAACTTAACCTATTATATACTATTAGCTGTAGTTTATGATTAAAACGCTAAAATCTGTTGTCTACTGTAATTTTGATACAACTGTATTTTTATCATTGTCACATGTAACAAACGTAATCAAATACTTTCAACTACACAGAAAAACAGCACCATTATGTTCATTACACGTGTGTCGAGAAATTTTAAAGTTAATTGAATTGATTTTGGATGCATCTAATGGGATTAGTCTTGATGAACCTGTACTACTAAGTACGTTTTTGAACTGATGCACATGAATAGACTAACCCAGAATGGCAAGACTGATCGCAATCAACAGTCGCTACATGGTTATTTTTCTGATAGTTCTGAAAGGATAGAGGAAAAGTATAACTGAATTCTTTTTCCATATTCTTAATCAAATTATGTAATTTCAAATATTGAAAAAGTATTA